TGGACAATAATGTTGTAAATTCTAAAAATAAATATAAAGCAATTACAGAAAAATATTATGAATTGATGATTTTATGATAGGCCCACAGGTGTTTGTTAAATTATTTTTGGTATTTTTCTGTATATTTAAAATATTTAATAATTAAAAATTTAAATAAACATATTGGACATGGTTAAAGTATTCAGACAAAAATTAAGAGCTTTAAATATACTTATTATAACATTAAACTATCAAGAGAGGAAAATAAGAAAACAAATGAGTTAAGTGTTTATCAGAAGCTGATAAAAAGATAATCCAAATAATGGGGAAAATGGAAATATAAAGATAAGAACAAATCAATAAAATAGTGCACAAAAATCAACATGAAGATTAACAAAGCAAAAATTAGTTCTTTGGAGAGATTAATAAGATAGCAAATCTTTGATAAGACTGAATAAGATAAATCAGAAAAAGAATAAGTAAAACATATACTGAAAAGGATATCTACAAACAAGTAACTTTTAAAATAGTTTTTAAAATTATAAACAAACATGTAACAATACATTGGAAATTCATTAGAAAGTGGATTAATTTAGGCGGGATGTGGTGGCTCACGCCTGTAATCCCAGCACTTTGGAAGGCTGAGGCGGGTGGATCACCCAGAAAGTCAGGAGATTGAGACCATCCTGGCCAACATGGTGAAACCTCATCTCTACTTAAAAAAAAAAAAAAAGCTGGATGTGGTGCTGTGTGCCTGTAATCCCAGCTACTCGGGAGGCTGAGCACGAAAATTGCTTGAATCCCAGAGGCAGAGGTTGCAGTGAGCTCAGATCATGCCACTGCACTCCAGCCTGGTGACAGAGCGAGACTCTGTCTTAAAAAAAAAAAAAAGAAAGAAAAGAAAATAGATTAATTTATATAAAGGATATATATATAAAATATTTAAATGGATGGAAGAATAAATAGAAAACTTGAATAGAGTGTAAAAGTTAAAGATACTGAAGTGGTAATAAAATGCCTCCTCCAGCAAAACCCCTGGGAAAAGGATAGGGAACCCAAGAAAGGAATAAACAGGCAATGAATATGAAAAGATAGTTCACAGAAGAAAATCTGAGTGGCTATGAAGTGATCCTAGTGGAGCAATGCAACTTCAAACAAGATCCCACCTTTTACCTATTAGATTGGCTAAAATTAGAAAAATGAAAAATACCAAAGTGCCCCCAAATAAGGACTGCTGTTTGTAGTGTGGATCAGACCGCATTCCTGTGCTTCTGCTCCAGCGCATCTCAGAAAATCCGTTCCCTCTCTCCCTCCCTCCCTTCCTTCCTTCCCTTCTTTTCTTCTTCCTTTCCTTCCTTCCTCCTTTTCTTATTATATTTTCTTTTTCTTTTTTTGTTCTTTTAGATTGGCATAGACGTAAAATACATATATTGCAAGTGTACAACTTGATGAATTTTCACTAAATGAACTCATGAAACCATCACCATCAAGAAATAAAATGCTTCTTGTACATGAGAAGTCCCATTATGCCTCTCCCATTGTGAATCACCATGCCTAGGCTATTTTACTTTTATTTTTGAAGAAAGTTCAAAATGATTGCATAATTCTAGATTGGCAGTTAATTTCTTTCCGCATTTTAAAGATGTTTTGTTGTCTTCTACCATTCACCATTTCTGTCACCCATACTTTTGTTCCTTTGAAGTTAATGTGCTTTTCTTTTCTCTCACTGCTTTTAAGAGTTTTGTTCTGTCTTTGGTGCTTAGAAGTTTCATTATGATGGGCCTAGGTGTGTGTTTTCTTTGATCTTTTCCTATTTTGAGTTGTAGTACTTCCTAAATATGTGGTTTGATGTTCATTGTCAATACATGATATTCTTTGCTGATAATCTCTTCTAATATTACTTCTGCCTAATTCTTTCTTTTTTCTTATGATCTCATTTATGGATGTTGGCTTTGGGAGAATCAGTATGTCCAAAAATATAGGAAACTTGATGGAGAACTGGAATACATATAAGAAAATCAAATTAAAAGTAACTGAAATTTAGAATACAATAGTGGATTGAATAGCAGAGTAAAGACAGTAGGAGGAATGATTGTTAAACGGAAGTTAAGTCTGTAGAAAATATCTAGCATGAAGCTGTCTGGATGGATGAAGATATATATTTTCATTGACAATTCCTAATTTTTGGCTTTCCAAAAAAGTCAAGATTTTTGTCAACATTGAATTTACATTCCTCATAGTTTCAGTGTGCCTGAGCTGATGGGTTGATGATGTGCTCCATATACAGGGATATATGTCTTCCCAACTAGCCAGTCACTCCTTTCTATTGTCTTCTACCACTGAGGCTGAATATTAGTTGTCATGGTTTATATCATCCCTTCCCTGCTCACACATTTACTTTGTATGCTGGGCATGGTATGTATGTAAATTCATGATCCATGTTGAAGATGGTGTAAAGATACCAAAAAATGTGAAAGAGACTTGGAACTGGGTAACAGGCAGAGACTGGAACAGTTTGAAGGACTCAGAAGAAGATAGGACTCAAGATGTGGGAAAGTTTGAAATTTCCTAGAGACTTGTTGAATGGCTTTAACTGAAATGCTGATAGTGATATGGACAATGAAGTTCAGGCTGAGGTGGTGTCAGATAGAGATGAGGAACTTGGAAATTTGAATAAAGATTACTCTTGTTTTGCTTTAGTAAAGAGATGGGCAGCCTTTTGCCCCAGCCCTAGAGATCTGTGGAACTTTGAACTTGAGAGACATGATTTAGGGTATCTAGTCGAAGAAAGTTCTAAGCAGCAAACCACTCAAGAAGTGACTTGGGTCCTCTTAAAAGAATTTTTTTTAATGCATTCACAAAGAGATGATTTGTAATTGGAACTTATGTTAAAAAGGGAACCAGGGCATAACATTTTAGAAAATATACAGCCTGATGATGCAATAGAAAAGAAAATTCTATTTTCTGAGGTGAAATTAAAGCTTGCTGCAGAAATTTGCATAAGTAAGAAGCAGCCAAATGTTAATCCCCAAGACAATAGGGAAAATGTTTCCAGGGCCTGTCAGAGGTCTTCATGGCAGCCCATCCCACCACAGGCTTGGAGACCTATGAGGAAAAAACAGTTTCTTGGGCTGGGCCCAGGGCCTTGCTGCATTATGCATCCTCAGGATTTGGTTCCTGTGTCCCAGCCATGGCTAAAGTGGCCATTGTACAGCTCAGGCTGTTGCTTCAGAGGATGCAAGCCCAAAGCCTTGGCAGCTTACACGTGGTGTTGGACCTGTAGGTGCACAGAAGTCAAGAATTGAGGTTTGGGAACCTGTGCCTAGATTTCAGAGGCTGTCTGGAAATGCCTGGATGTCCAGGCAGAAGTTTGCTGCAGGGATGGCGCACTCATGGAGAACCTTTGCTAGGGCAGTGTGGAAGGGAAATGTGGGGTTGGAGCCCCCACACAGAGTCCCCACTAGGGCACTTCCTAGTGGAGCTGTGAAAAGAGGACCACCATCCTCCAAACCCCAGAATAGTAGATCCACTAATAGCTTGCACCATGCACCTGGAAAAGCTGCAGATACTAAGTGCCAGCCTGTGAAAGCAGCTGGGAAGGGGACTGTGCCCTGCAAAGCCATAGGGGCAGAACTATCCAAGACCATGGGAACCTACCTCTTGCATCAGCCTGACCTAGATGTGAGGCATGGAGTCAAAGGAGATCATTTCAGAGCTTTAGGATTTGACTGCCTGGCTGGATTTTGGAGTTGCATGGGGCCTTGTAGCCCTTTTGTTTTGGCCAATTTCTCCCATTTGGGATGGGAGCATTTATCCAATGCCTGTATCCCCATTGTATCTTGGAACTAACTAACTTGTTTTTGATATTACAAGGCTCCTAGGTGGAAGAGACTTGACTTTATCTCAGATGAGACTTTGGGCTTGGAATTTTGGGCTAATGCTGGAATGAATTAAGACTTTGGGGAACTGTTGTAAAGGCATGATTGGTTTTGAAATTTGAAAGGGACATGAGATTTGGGAGGGGCAAGTGGTGAACTAATGTGGTTAGGCTTTGTGTCCCCACCAAATTTCATCTTGAATCATAATCCCCATAATCCCCAAATGTCAAGGGAGACCAGGTGGAGGTAATTGAATCATAGGGGCAGTTTCCCAGTGCTGTTCTCAGGATAGTGAGATCTCATGAGATCTGATGGTTTTATCAGGGGCTCTTTCCCTTTTTTCTCTGCACTTCTCTTTCTTGCCACCATGTGAAGAAGGTGCCTTGCTTCCCCTTCACCTTCTGCTGTTTCCTGACGCCTCCCCAGCCATGCTGAACTTTGGGTCAGTTAAACCTCTTTCCTTTATAAATTAACAGTCTTGGGTAGTTCTTTATAGCAGTATGAAAACAGACTAATACAATACAGTCTAGCAATATAGTGGAGAACAACGTAGTTACAAGCCCTGCCCTCAGGGAAAAGAAAACAAGAATCACATAAATAATTAGAACTGTGATAAATACTCTGAAATAAAAGTAAAAAATGCTAAGAGACCCATCATATTTTCCAGCTGGAAGGCAGAGAATGTTTCCCCCACTAAAATGTTATTTAAGCCGAGTTCTGAAGATAATATGATTTACTCAGATGAAGGCATGGGTATATGTGTGTTGGTGGGGAATGGATGGAGAGAAATGATCTAACCTGGAAGAGTTGGTCAGGCCTGAGAAGTCAAAGCAAGCCAGTAGGGCTGAAAACAGTTATGAGCAGAAGCCATGTTGTACTGGTTGCTGAGTTTGGAAAAATACATAGGATTTTGGATGCCTTTGTAGACCAAGCAGCTAAGGACCAGCACATTTCATGGTGACTTGATGGTATACAAATCTGGTCCTTCTGATGACTCTTCTAGTTGAAATAATTTATCACTGCGAAATTAAGTCATGAATTAGAAGATAACTAGCTGACATTTAGCCAGGTAGACAAGCTATTGACTTGGTATGATAAAATATCACTGAGTTCATTTTTATGCCTTTGTTTCCTCTGTCTCAGCTGCAAGTGTCCACTGCTTGGAAAAGTGTGGGAAGCTGACTTGGAAGCTTGTCGACTGCTTATCCAGAGCCTACAACTCCAGGAAGCCAGGGACAGCCTGTCTGTAGAAGATGAGGGGCAGCTGGATGACCTAGTGGGAGCTGTCTGTTCAGCGGCTCCTCCCATTCCCCCTAGGCTCCACTCCGAGCATGAGAGGAAGACCCCTTTGCAGGCACTGGAAGAATGGAAGGCTCACCTGATCCCCTCTCTGCACTGGGCTGGAGGCGAACAGAAAGAGGTCTGTCCTTTCCACATGGCCTCCAGAGGGGACCCCTGTTTTAAGGGGTGCTTTGGGACCATGCTCCAAATGGGAACAATAAATATTGGGAGGACTTCCCATTGAGCCATATAAGCTTTTAAAAGTTTCAATAACTCTTGAATATGATTTCAAAATAACATAGAATTTTTGTAGAAGTTTGAAATATGGAAGAGCAAAAAAACCCAGCTTTTGGCATATTTTGTTCTATTTTCATTCTAATTTAGTGGCTAGAATTAGAATATGCAGTCTAATATAGAATTACCATATATAGTATACATTATATATGTCATATATATAACAGTTATATACACTATAGATTATATATGCCATATATGACATTTAATATATATACTATAAATTATATATCATGCACCATATATATTTAATTATATATTTAGAATCTATATATTACAATATATGATTTATTTGAATGAAACATTCAAATATATGTATATATCCCATTAATTCTTTTTACCAAAACCAGATCATAATGAATGCTTATAATGTTCTTCTTTCATATACACAACTAAAGTTTGGCCTGAGATCTATGTATTACAAATTAAAATATTATTTTATGTAACTTTCTTTTTTTCTACCCTCTTTCCTCTCTCTCTTCCCCTTCCTCTCCTTACTTTCGCCCTCCCACCCTAACAAGAGTCTTTTCCTTAAAAAGCCCCTAGGAAGTTTTTCCTGGCTTGAAAGAATATTCTGGGGTGGAGGGAATGCCACCTAAGCAAGGATTTCTTCCTGGGTGGAAGAAACTGCAGGTTCCGGGAATGAGTCTTTGAAGGTGTGGCTGGCTTTCCAAAGTGAGCTACCAGGAGCTCAGTGTGGGGCTGTGAGAAGCCAAGCCAGGTATGTGATGGAGTCCCTGGGTCATTGATTCTGCTGGAGGCCAGGACTGATTCAGCAGAGATCTCTTCCTCCTGGAGGGGAGAAAAAAAGTATCTTTTAAAAAATCCATCAAAAGGTTCACAGCTGAGGCACCTATACAGACAGAGTAACAAGAGAAAAATATACAAATTTGCTCAATATAAAATTCATATGACATAGGAGCCTTCAGAAATGAAAACCCAAAGCAATAGAAACTAGCATATTTTTGTGCTTAAATCTGATGACTAGCAGGCAGATGTGGAGAAGTATTATTGGACAAAGGTGTATGATCTAAATGGCAATAAACGGGGGGAAGCTTAGTAAGGCCTGCTTGTTCAGATTCTTCACTGCATCCCTGTGTCTTCAGAGATGAGGATATTCCTTTCCTTTGGGCATAGGATGTACATTTTAAAGATGAGGGTGTTATAATCTACTTTAGAGGAAGGTCAGAGACTTATTTATGGCCTGCTTCAGGAGAGAATGGCTGCAGAAGGTCAGAGAGACTTTCCTGCTTCTGCTGTTCCTCAAATGCCAAGGTGCCATATTTTGGGGCACTGTGCCCCGTCACTCTCTTTCTACCTCTCTTTCTCCTTCTCTGCTTTACCAACTGAGCCCTAAGCCTTCCGGGCTCTCTGGGGACTGACTTTCACAGGCATAGGAGGATTAGTTTTCATCCATAAGATTGTAAGCAGCTGTCAATTTCACTATTTGTCTGTAAGAACACAGAACTGTATTTGTTGAAAAATAGGAAGCTTAGGGTCAAGGATGAAGGAAGAGTAGAGCTTGATCCTAGGTCCTGTGATGGCTGCTGTTTGGGTGCTCCACGGGGTCCCCAGAGAGCCTTCCAGATCCTCTCCACCAACTGAAATGCTGAGGATGTCCTATAGTTTATTTGTTGCTTTCTTGGGGGTGGGTGCATGCTTTAGAGGGGACCTTATAGCTTTTGCTGCCTTTTGGTATCATTTCCCTGTTCCTGTATCACAGTGGTGGGTTTATATTTACAGAGAGAGCAGCCATTCTTTGAATTCATGAGTGTCATGGATTTTAAGATGACGTTTTCTGAAAAGTTCAAAATTATGGGTCCAGAAAAAAGATCAGCTGTTTCCAGGAAAGGGAAAGGGACTCATTACAAGAGCAACAGGAAGAAATTTGGTGTATGGAAGTTGGGGACGGGATGATCAAAGTATTCTCGTTTTTGATTGTGGCGCTAGTTTTGTGACTATGCATATGTCTAAATTCATAACTTCACACCAAAAAGAGTGTATTTTACTGTGTAGACTTTACAAAAAAGATTAAAAATTTTTTTTTAATGTCTACCCATTTAAAAACCAGACTATAGATGTTTGAGTCAGTTGCTTTTGTCTCAGGACAAACTCAGTCTGAGTTTGCTGTGATCTCCAATTAAGTCTCTTACAGGCCACATCTCCTCATCTGTTAAGAAAAACAACACTATCACGATGAGAGGATAATGAAAACTATCTCATGAAGCTGTGGACAAGATTTAAATAAAAGGATGCATCTCAAAATGACAGTAGAGGCTAATTTGTGTTAACTTTTGTTTCTGTCACTCTTTCTGGCAGTCACAAACCTCTAAAATGCTTTTTGTATACAGAATGCTGGAACAGCTATTTGGAAGAGGGTGTTGCATGACTCAGTCTCCAGGCTTAACTTTCCCTCTTGTATAAGGAGTTTGGGGGTGCTTGAGATTGTGAAATTTTCCTTTACATGTATAATATTCTCTGATTTTTGTCAAGAAGCAGATGTGAGCAATGAGTTAGTGGAGGATATCTAGACAGAGAAAGGTTTAATTAAGCAAAACCTTCTTGTTTGTATTCGGGTCTAGGATTTTAGACCACTGAAGGTACAGGGGAATGATAACAAGGCTCTCATTAGGAAGGTGTTTTTGTTTTCCTGCCTGTCTTTTCCAAGGAGTCATTGAAGTCTGCGTACTTTGCATTTATCCTGTGGCTAAAATGTCTATTAGCTTTGCAGCTCTGGGTTGGTTTTGCTTTGGAACTCCCTGCTGGGTCTGACCATCCTATATACTGGTTTCTCTACTGAAGCTTGATGCCTTGAAGGCAGTCAATTTCTTTTTGACCCAAATCTTTCATGGCAAATTGCTGACTTCTTCCAGAGGTCCACAGGGAGGTGAGTTTTCAAAGCCTTTTCTATGAGTATCTGGCCAATGTGGTGATGTGCATTCTGGTGTTACTTTGTTATCAGAAGGACTTTGTCATTAACACCTTCCCCGTGTCTACAGTCCTTGCTAGGCTGCTGAGCACCATTTCCCCCATTTTACAGCTGGGCCCATTAAGGCAAAGCAATTTGCTTTGGACTTTGTTACAGAGGAAGTCAGCAACGGGGCTCAGTGCCAATCTTAGCATGAACTTCCTCGAATCGTAAGAGTCCTTTTCTTTTCCAGTTTCATGACAGCTCTCCTTCGAGCCTTTTCAAGGACTCTGGAAACGATCAGCTGCCACTGGCCCTGGTTCATAAATGTTATAGAAATTGTATTTGGGCCAGACAGGAGCCAGGGAAATCGGTGAGCCAGGCTTCCTCTGCTGTGAAGTGGCTCTTTTGTACTGACTGTTCTGGCTATAATACCTGCGTAATTCTTTTCTTTCCTGTCTGTAACCCGGCCTGTGGGGTGTTTTCTGTTTCTACTACTGTTTCTACATAATGGGCTCCCTGGACAGTATCACTCCCCCCAGACTTCTCATCCCAGCTGCTTCCTTTCTGAGCCCGTAGCTCCCACCGAACAGGCCAAAAGAGGACCTGGCAATGTTGAGTCATCGCGTGCAATATGTGAGTGCCAGTGTGTGAACACAGCTGCAATGAAAGGAATTAGCAATGAGACACAACCCAACTATGTAGCCTCATTCGTTCAGATTTGGGTCTTCAAAAAGCGTTGTAAGTTTAGGTGTGATACCTTTCCTCAGCCATCATAAGGGCTAACGCTCCCATAACAAAAACAGGTTAACAACAGGAAAACATAACACATTTATTTAATCGGAGTTTTATGTGACACAGTAGGCTTCAGAAGTGAAGACCCAAAGACCCAGGGAAAACTTTTTATGCATAAGTTTAAATAGCTATGAAGGAATGTGACCGGACAAAATGGGTATGATCTAATGGTTATAGATTCGGGGGGTGAGCAGACCAGCAAGGCCTGTCTGTTGAGATTCTTCTTGGATGCTCTGTGTAGCATTTCTTCCCCTTGGGTATGGGGCAGGACTCCTCTGGATTGAGGGTCTTCAAGGGAGAAGGGAGAGAGTGCCCTTTCTAGGTTTTATGATTTCTTTAGGGAAGAGGAGTCCTAGTTTCTATGATTGACTTTGAGGAAGAGGAGTTCTGGTTTCTATGGCTTGCATCCAGGGAAGGAAAAGGAGTGTGAGAGAGGAGGGCAGGAGAAGGTCGGAGAGACCTTGCTTCTGAGGCCTTCCAATCTCCTTTAGTTCAAAGTACTCCGCATGCCCGAGTGTCACACTTTGAGGTATCATGCTGTGAGCCACAGCGTAGGCATCTCCATTCCTTTTTATTCAATTTCACATGAAAAAAGACCTGGAAAAGGCGATTCACAATGGAGATGTTTGTCCTCCTCATCTTAAACTGATTTCCAATTCTAGAACTATCTCTACTTGGTAAAAATGCTTCCTCTTTAGCCATAGCTGGACCAGATTTGATTCTTTCTTTTCTCTGACATTTACTGGCTCTGGGACATCTGGAAACTCACTTTGACTCTCCAAAGAGCACATCCCCAACCACATGATCTCTTACTATCTCCTCCACTTTTGACAAGAACTGACAAGGGGAAAATGTTAACTTACCCATCAGCTGGTTTCGCTCTTTTTGTTAATGTCTTTGGGGAAAAAGCAAAGAGCTAGGACATAAAGGAAAGTTCTATCTCCACTACACTTTGAAGTTTTGCAAACCCAGCCATCTTTCCCGAGAGTAGAGCCCTAGAGGCAAGCAGGATGCAACCAGGGTTGGTGATTTGTTGGTTAATTAAAAAGTCAGAAAAGGCAGAGAATCATCAAAGATGATACATGTGTATTTCAAACCTTCTTTTTGTTTCTAGCTGAAAATTCTCCCTCTCATTTGCTATT